GTCTCCTCTGACCACTGGCTGTGTGTCCGGTTGATTGTTCCTGTCATGTTGAATAGCTTCAGTTATTCTGTTTTCATCCACAGTGTCTTTTGATGCCTCACAAAAATTGTGCAACACAAAACATGCATATATAACAAATGGAAGATCGTTCATATTGATGTCCATGGCTCTCCTCAGGGCTCCAAATCGGGCTTTTAGTCTTCCAAATGCACATTCAATCACCATTCTAGCTCGGCACAACGAAAGTCCAAAGTACTGCTCCTGAACATTGCTTCCTCCGTTAGCATATTCTTTCATCAGGTAAGGTAGAAGTGGGTATGCAGGGTCACCCAGTATGTAAATGGGTATAGCGTCTTCGTTCTCCACAATTTGTCTTGGACAGGGGGGAATCTTCATGTTTTTCAGATTTGTGTTTATTGTGGAGTTAGCAAAAACTCTGGCATCATGCACACTCCCTGGCCATTTCACAACTACATCAATAAAGCTGTACTTGTAATCACAGGTGGCTTGTATGTTAAGAGAAAACCTCCCCTTCCTATTTAGGTACTCTGTAGAATTAGCTGATGGCTGCTTTATCTCCACATGAGTCCCATCCACAGCTCCAAGGCACTGAGGGAGACCATAAGCCTGCTCAAATCCCTCAACAAGTGCACGCACAGCAGTCTCTGTTGTTGGCATTTTTATGTAAGATGGTCCCAAGTACACAGTTATAGCCTTACACACCTCTCTAATTATGTTTGAGACTACTTGTCTTGATAAGCCAAATGCATTGGCCGTTTTACGCAGTCTTCCCTCGTCAGCCAAATAATATAGCGTGCATGCAACTTTTTTGACCACACAGACTGGAGATCGCATTACAGTACTCTTCCCTTGAATGTAAGGAAGGAGTAACTCCGAGAGCGACAGTAATGACGACCGTGACATTCTGAAGTTCTCACGCCATTCCTGTGGGAGAACAATTTCCTTCTCAAAGTTTTCCCACCAGCCAGCAGTGCGTCCAGGTCTGATCCAAAACCGGCGACGGCGACGCTGAATGGCGGTATTGTGCCTCCGTATCGGTAGGGATAGTTGCTGTAAAAGAGCTGAACGCCAAACGCTTTTTCTCCTTTGTAATTCCATCTGTTGGAGCAGTTGTGCTTGTAAAAACAAGCAAGCAAAAATTGCCTGAACCAGCGTTACAATTAGTACTTCCCTAAACGCAGTCATTTTCCCTCCGAATGAATGGGCAAACAAAAACAATTGTCGCACATGTGACGTCAGCGCCGCGCTGCACCATCTGTCGCAGACATAATGCGCATATCTCCGGTTCCGAAAGTCCACACGCAAACCCGAAAGAGGAGATTTCTCAAATCTCCACTTTGGTCGGAGTTTTTGTTATTATTCGTTTATAGTTACATCAACCGGAGTTCACGTGTGGATGAAAGGCCACACCGCATGATAAACTATTCGGTTTTCCTGATATCCGGCTACGTGTGTACAGGGCCTATAAGGGAATCAGGAGACAGAAGCGCGGGATAACTACTGGCAGGTAAACTGTTTTCGACTATCTGGCGCTCACCCTATGTGCCGGTCAGGTTTATAAAGGGTGCAGCAACAGGTGCAGCTAATGAGAAGTAATCAGTGTGGAATGTGGTGAAGAGAAGACAAACTTAAAGTCACATGCAGCCAGCAGAGAGGAGATAAGAGTGCTGCAGAGAAGGAAGTCTGAAAACCAAGAAAAACAAACAACAAGAGAAAGATAGAAAAGAAAAAGAGTCCACAGACACCAAGCAGTGAACAGAGTGAAAAGAATTTAAATCAGACAGGCGTGAATCGTGACACTCTTGTTATTATTAATCTGTTCATACGGTTCAGCCGTAAACCGGTTGGTTCATGGCTCTTTTCAGTGTTTTTCCCTCCCCGTTGATGTTTCCGGGGCGTTCATGCATTCAGAATGCATAATTACACAACATGCGTCTGTGCATGGCCACATAATTACACAATGCGTAATTATGCACATGGGAGCTGAGTGATTAGACTTTTTTGGGCAAGCTTCTGCTTGATACGGTGTTCGAATGGACCCAGTGAGGCGAGGACCACATCGGCTTCGCCCTTTACCCACTAAAGCGAAGGCCTTAAAGGGCGAAGCTTATACGAAATAGAACGTTGGTTACGTACTGTAACCCCAGATTCTATGAGTATAAGCGTAGCCCTTTAAGCGTCGGGCCTCACTGGCTCCTAAATGGCTGAAGAAAAAAAGCTATTTTGGGAGCCGATTTCCCGCTCTTAACGTAATTTATACCGACCGGGTGGGGCCCACACAGCAGGTGGGCGTGGACTAAATTTTTTCAGTGCTTATGCTGCACATAATGGGATAAACCCACTAAAGCGAAGGCCTTAAAGGGCTACGCTTATACTCATAGAATCTGGGGTTACAGTACGTAACCAACGTTTTCTGTCTAAAGGAGAAGTAGTGATGTCGGTCGAAAGTCAGATACAGTCAGAAAACAAGTTATTAGAACGGGCTGTATTGTTTTTAAACCTAGCAGACGGTAAAAAGAGAAACACTGGCAGCTGCGTGTCTCACTTCGCCATAACATTTCTCTGTCTGTACTAAACGTTCCTAAACATTCATGAATCCTCTGTTGACTTTTAATAACCCTCTGACATCACTAGAACCAACCCCTGTTGGTTGTTTCAACCAATCAGGAAGTCCTAAGTGACCGGAGGTGAGGACTCTTTTAAAAGTCGACACTTCCTCAGTCTACTCAGTCTAAGGAGTCTTCTCCGTCTTCTGAAGTTCTTCTGAGTTCTTCTGAAGTATTGGATCTGAGTTGAACTCAGTCTTTGATGGAGTCTTCTCAAGCCTTCAGGAGTCTTCCACTTCTGAGTGGGATCTCTGACGGAGTCACAGCGACTTGCTGTGAATCCACCCTGGTGTAACGCCTCCAACCTCGAAGGGAGCTGAGCCTGTTTGTTGAACGGAGTAAATGGACACGACTTCTGACGATGACCAGCCGCTCTAACCGGAGACGCTGGAAGGTAGCGTTGAAATGGACCCGACACCGGAGCTGATTTATCTCCTGCGAAGGTAACAAGTCGTCACGTGCTAAGTGTACCGGAGGTTTGAGCTGGTGATTGAAAGAAGCGTGCCAATTCTGGTCAACAACATACACCTCTCTTCACCCATCTTTTCTTTAAACCTCTAAACTCCTTCCTTTAAACTCTTCTATTTTGCCAGTAATCTAGATGCCTTCAGAAATGTCTTGTTGTCTTATTAGTAAAGCGTGCCAAGTTTTATTAATCAGAACCAGATCAGCTAATCAAGTGTACATGTTTTGATGTTAAATTTTGATTCTGTTAAATAAATGACCGCATTTATTCTGATGGGTCAAAAGAAAATTAACGTCTCTTGTCACTGATTAAACAATCCTCACAGTTACCTCGTCACATGGCATTAATTTAACTCGAAAAAGAAAGAACCCATTATATATAATTAATTAGTAGTGAAGGTACAGCGACGCTGTCTCCCACTTTCACTACAATTTGGTGGGACCGTATGTCCACAGCAAACTACAGTGAAGCTGTCCTTGACACACTACAATGGACAGTGATTTGGACATGTCCAGAGGAGAGACAGTGGTCTGGACATGTCCAGAGGAGGGACAGTGGTCTGGACATGTCTAGAGGAGAGACAGTGGTTTGGACATGTCCAGAGGAGGGACAGTGATCTGGACATATCCAGAGGAGGGACAGTGGTTTGGACATGTCCAGAGAAGGGACAGTGGTCTGAACATGTCCAGAGGAGAGACAGTGGTCTGGACATGTCCAGAGGAGGGACAGTGGTTTGGACATGTCCAGAGGAGGGACAGTGGTCTGGACATGTCCAGAGGAGGGACAGTGGTTTGGACATGTCCAGAGGAGGGACAGTGGGTATATTGGTAGAAGGATGTTAGAAATGCAGCTGCAGGAAAAAGACAAAGAGGAGACATATGGATGCAGTTAGAGAGGACATGGAGGTAGTTGGAGTGAAGACAGAGGACACAGAGGACAGAGTGAGATAGAGGAGGAGGACTTGCTGTGGAGACATCTGAAGAGGGAAAAGCCAAAAGAAGAAGACAAATAATTTTTACAGCATCAAAACAAGTAATAGAATGAGTCTAAATGATTATTTTTTCCTTTTAAGAAATATGACAAAACGCTTGAAAGACATATTTCATAAAGTTAGGAGTTAGTTTTCCCAAGCTGCATACTTCAAGCTAATGACATAATGAGACAAAAAATAAAGGCTAATGAGTGTTCCTGACACCCAGGGAGACATCAACCTTACTGCAGTGTTATTTTCTATTAAGGAGCTGTACACACAGTCTGAGTGCTCCTGCTTTCAGGAGACCAGCAGGAGCTCCTATAACCTGATTGACTGACTGATCAATTACAGTCCTGCGTGTATGAAATGACTAATATGAAGAAACTGACTGACAGCCCATGGTTAAAAATATACCCTCCATACTACCACTGAAACTGGGTTCAAACAAGAATTTTCTTGTGCTCTTTTTGAACATCTCAGGTGTATTTGGATTCTGAGCATCATATTCTAGATTTACAAAAGACCATTAAAAGAAGCAAAATAAAATAAATATATTTTTATGAGTTGATATTTATGAGCCTCTTCCATCCTCCCTGTCCCTCTGCTCAGCTTTTGAAGTGGATTCCTCTTTTTATGTCTCACTTGGGACTTATCTGTTTTTCTCTAGTTTGTCTCCTCCCTCTTCTGTTTTGGATCTTGAACAACCCCTTCCTCTAAAACCCTCATAATGTGATAAGATAATGCTGGTCTCATATTGAGTGATTTGTTTTCCCTGTGAGATGTTCAGTATGTCATATTTTCTGGTGCGAGCCTCTCCTGGGACTAAAGTCCTCGCAGATATTAGCTCTGGCAGCGATGAGGAAGGCTGGTGATGAAACACTTCAGTTTTTGACTTTTTTCTCTCTCTCTGTTTCCTTTTTACATGTTCCCTCAGATTACACGGATGGGCTTGATTGTTCACAAAACCAAGGCGCAGGATTTCCAGGTTTTGGCAGGCTCAGCAGGGTTTCTAATGGCTGCCTATTGTGTTGGTAAGAGGCCATGAACCAGGGCTGCTGCTCCTCACAGGGAGCCGTCAGCAGCGTTTTGTTTTCAGTCAGACCCAAGCTGAAGAATTTTTTATATTTCATGTTAAATCCAAGAGAAAAGAAAATTCTTTATAATTCATCCTAATCTAGTTGTTACCAGATCAAGATGGAACTGGAACTGACGCTATCAGATGTCAGATGTGCTTTGTATTCAGTGATCACCACGTTAATACGGTTCAGATTTGATAAGACATTCAGTGATAAACAGACACTCTGCAGGAAGTATACAAACTGCATTGTTGTGTCCAAAGTATCAAATGGTCCAAAAAGAGACTTTTTTCTGATAATAGAAATTACCTTTTGTTGATTAAAAAATATATACATATCTTTTATTTATGGGGTAAGAACACTGTCAAAATAAATGTGTGTGAAGACAGAAATGTGTTCATATTGGTCAATAGTAGTGCATAACTAGAATTTGTACATGGATTGTATGTTCCCTTAAAAAAATACCATTTAAAAAGTTACAACTTCACAAACTTACAAATACAAACTTCAAATTTACAGTTGTGGTTCACGCTTTATGAATACAAAGAACTTTGACTGTGAATATGACATTTTCTATGAGAATATAAATTTACAGCAGTGATCTTATAGCACGGGGTCACGGGCTGGTTAATGGAGCACAGAACACATCGATACACGTTGCATGCACTCTTCATGTTTTCTCTGTTCCAACTTAATAGCACCACCGGAATTTATTTTAAAAATAGAAAAACGAATTGTCAGTACACACAAGAGTAATGTTAGCAGTTCTGTTAGCAGTACAGTGGGTGGAAGACATAAAACCATTAAAAACAAAAATGTGTTCTGATTCAAGTTCCATATTATTGAGTTTAAAACACAACCATTCAGACAGCAGTCCAGACATTGTATTAGAAATATTACTTAAATTATTCAGAATACAAGGAGTGGGTTTAACTGTAGCATTTTTATAGGTACCAGCACATTTTGGGATACAACTGTCCCTCGCTATATTGCGGTTCACTTATTGCGACTTTGCGGTATTGCGAGTTTAAAAAAAATCTAATTCTGTATTGCAGAATTTTTTGCTATATCGCAGGATTTTGCTGTGCATACTGTACTCCACTACCATTTGCACAAGTGGAGGAAGAAGCCACCTCTGTTTTCCTCTGCCCTGTGCACACACTGTCCTGCTACGTCTCGCGCATGGCCGCATCACGCCGCTCTCATCTGTTTCTGCAATTCAGAGCTCAGTCTCAAGGACGTCCTCTGTCTGTTCAGTGCCTGTCACACGGGCTGTATGAGGCTGTTTCACAGGCGTATATTTCCTCTGAATCTCAGAGGGACTCAGAGCTCACTCCACTAGAGGAATCTCATCATCCATGGCTCTGCATGGAGGGGTGTCAGTGTAGGACATTTGCACAACAGCTTCCTGGGCTTTGCCGTGCTCATTACTTCTCTTTTATTTGCATGATACCTCCAGCTTCCCCCTGACTCACTCTGTCCTCAGAAATTTGTCAGAGATGATGCAGACGTTTTAGTGAGCTCTTCATCCTGCCAGTTCTCAAAGCAGCAGGGTTTGACATTTCAGTCTTCAGTCTGACAATTCAATTTCAATTCAGTTCATTTATATAGCGCCAAATCACAACAAGTTGTCTCAGGGCACTTTACAGAAACATTCACATAAAAGCCAATTAGTAAAGTTCTCTATTTAAGGAAACCGGCAGACAAGTTGAATCTTGGCTTTGTTGCAGTCTCCCATCCTGAGCAAGCACAGTGGAGACAGTGGAAAGAAAAACTCCCTTTAACAGGAAGAAACCTCCAGCAGAACCAGCTCAGGACAAGAGACCATCTGCTTTGACCGGCTGGTTGAGAGGACAGGAAGGAGAGTCAGACGAACATAGAAAGACAGGTCCAAGTCCAGATATAGGTCCAGGTGTATCTGAAAGACAAAAAAAATGTTAAGATAGAAAAAATAATTACAAATCCAAAACAGGTTGAGCAGAGTAAGTAAAGACAGTAGCAGAGTGAAAAGTGTGGTCAGTTTGTCCTCCAGCAGTCTAAGCCTATAGCAGCTGAACTAAGGTGTCACGATTCACGCCTGTTAGGTTAGATTTTCTATCACCCTGTGCACTGCTTGGTGTCTGTGGATCCTTTTCTTCTTTTCTGGCTGCATGTGGGTTTGAGGTTGTCTTCACTGATCAAACCGGTTTGTCTTCACTGCAGCACCTACAGCTCTGATTACTACTTTCAATTAACTGCACCTGTCTCTGCACCCTTTATAAGTCAGACTCTCACACAGAGTGATTGCCAGGTGCTCTACGGCTTTGGAGTTTCCAGGAAGGAGTTGGCCGACAAAGAAAAATTGGACGTTGCATGGGGAAAATCTTTAAAACACAAATTACGCAATCTATCTGGCGGTGAGGCATAATCTGAATTGTGAATGAACCAGAATGACCAGTAGTAGTGGGTTGTCTGATGAGGAAGAAATGAACTGGACACCTGTAAATGTAAAGAAAAAAGTTGAAGGAGAGTCAAGGTGAATATTCAAGTAGTGGGAAATAAGAGAGCGTTAGAAAATGATGATTTACAATCATCAGATGTTAGAAAGAGGGTGATGACAAGGGAAGAATTTAAAGTCATATTTAAGTTCATAGAAGGAAATGATATCAAGAGGTGTTGGGGAGAGATTTCAAGGATCCCCATTGGAGAAAATCTAATTGAGCTCAAACAGCAGCTAAAAGGAGGAAACACTGTGGATATCGGACGACTCCAGATGTACGTGAAGGAGTGAAAGTTGACAGTGAGTCTGTTTTGTTGACATTTAATGAAGAAGTTCTGCCAGCTAAAGTGATGGTAGATATCCATCCATCCATTATCTTTACCCGTTTATTCCATTTTGGGTCACGGGGGTCGCTGGTGCCCATGTCCAGCAATCACTGTGCGAGGGGCGGGGTACACCCTGGACAGGTCTCCAGTCCATCACAGGGACACATAGAGACTGTAGTGAACTAAGCCTCAGGTCAAATCTGGCCCTGAGGGCCTTCCTGGGACAAGAACTGTTATCTCATTGATTTGAGTCCAGAAACACAAAATTAAGTTCATCCAGAGACTTTCTAAGTGTGTCCTGCACTGATCAATTGAAAGAACACTCTCTTTTTTATTATCATTACTATTTTACAAATGTCTTGATAATCAAAAGTGTGTTTAGTTCAAACCATTTTTAAATGTTGAAGTGAACTACTTATTTTAAATCAACTGTGAAACAGTATAAATTATTTTTAATCCTCATTCAAAGTAGAAATCTAGTTAATGTCTGTTACAAGAGTAATTATTCATTTTCTTGATCTTCTGTCTGAAATGAGCAAGTGTAAGTCGGTCAAAAGTCAAGTTTTGGTCAACTACATGTTTACTGGAAAGAAATGTCATGTTTAACTTTTTCAGACAGATAGAAGTAGAACTGGCACCCAAAAGTCTCGGTTTCTTCAAAACATCTTCTGTCTGTTCTTAAACAATCTAATCTTTTTCCTTGACTTTCAATAACCTCTTACATCACTAAGACCACACCTTGTTGGTTCGTTTCGACCAATCAGGAAGTTCTCAGAGGAACCGGAAGTGACCTCTTTAAAAGGTTCAACACTTCCTAGTTCCACAGAAAATGCAGAGAATGCTGAGAGTTAGTTCCGAGAGCAGCAGAGTTCAGAATGCTGGAATGCAGAATGCTGGAGAACAACGGCAACTAAGCTGAACAACGTTCCAGGGAGGACCTCGAACAAGAAGTCCCTGAACGAGAGAAGTTCAGAGGAACTATGAAGAAGTCTGTTCTGGGATGATCTCACGACTCCTGAGGTTTAGCTGTTCTTACGGAGACGCTGGAAGAGTTGAAAGGAAAACTCTACACCAACGCCGAAACTATCATCTGCAAAGGTAAAGAGTCGATCTCAACCAAAGTGTACCGTGGGTTAAGCTGCATCCAAAAGGAGCGTGTTGTCGTTCTAGTCTACAGACCTACATCTTATACAGACACATACATCTTCACCCATCTCTCTCCATTTAAACTTCATTTCCCATCTTTAAAACTCTTCTACCTGCCAGTAATTAATCCAGATATTTTCAGAAATGTCTGTTGTAAAGCTGCAAGCAGATACCATGGCCGTATGGTCTCTGATTGTAAAGCTAATTAATTAAGCTGTTGTTGAAATCAATGTTGCCAAATTAATGTAAATGTTTGATGTTAAACTTTGATTCTGTTAATAAATGACCGCATGCATTTTGATGGGTCAAAGAAAATTAACGTCTCACGTCACATTTAATTGTTCAATGCACGATAGAACTCAGTCCAGAAAAATGAAAGAATCCGTTTAATTTATGGATAATATCTCACAGATATATGTTCATTTACAAGACAAACGAGACAAACAACCATTCACTCTCTCACTCACACCTAGGGACAATTTTAGAGTTACCAATCAGCCTAACATGCATGTTTTTGGTCTGTGGGAGGAAACCGGAGTACCCGGAGAAAACCCACGCATGCACGGAGAGAACATGCAAACTCCACCCAGAAGGCCCCTGGACCGGGGTTTGAACCAGGGACCTGTTCGCTGAGAGGCAGCAGCTCTACCAGTTGCGCCACCGTGCTGCTTGATGGTAGATATTTAAACTTTAATGTATGAGAGTATGTTCCTCCTCCTGTAAGTTGCTTCAAGTGTCAACGTTATGGGCATATTGCCAATGTATATAAAGGCAAACAGAGGTGTGGAAGATGTGGTGGGGAGCACGCATATGGTTAGTGTGATACAAGTGTTACAGTAAAATGCTGTAATTGTGTGTGTGTGTGG